AAAAAAAAAAAAAAAAAAAAAACTAACTAACTGTGTGGAGCCCAGAGGAAGGGATTTGATTTTAGGGTGGTGTTTTGTTGATGAAAGTGAAGATGGGTTAGGAGTGAATGAGTGAGGCAATGGATCAAGTAGCTCCACATGATTCCACACTGACTACAACAGCCAGCATAGCAAGCTTCCTGGACAGAGGAGATCAAGATGGCAGACCTCCAGGTGTGTGACCGTGGAGGGGAATAATCCCAAATCCTACTGTATTCTTTCTCCTGCGATTCCTAAACCACAACATGGTCCTTCCACGGCTATTCAGCAGACAGAGGCAGATTCCCACACACAGCACTCATTTACCTCTGAGTCAAACCTGTGACTGTTCCCTGGTCAGCCAGACTCAGGTGTCAAGTTTAGGCCAGTGTAATCACACAAAGGAACCACAACCAGACCCAGCCTACTCCTAATCCTCCTTTCTTTCCCAGCTGTCTAAGAGTTCATCTCCTCCCCATTAGCTGGGAAAAGGAGTGCCACTCTGATCCTGTTACACAGCCATGGTGGAGACAACACAGCGAGCACCATGTTAATGCATGATTTAACATGTTAAATAGCACTAGAGAATCATTTGGAATTAGCCAAGTGTTTGTTAGTATTCTGCAGACATGCAGATGATGACAGAGCCTGCACAGCTAGTACCAGTAAGCTACAGTTAGGGGAGAAAATCTCTATAGGGTTAAGACAACTAGAATGGAAGGACATTGAGGGGGAAGGTGGATTTGGGGGATTTTCTCTGCAATAAAAACCTGCTTAAAAGACAAAAATAAAAGTATAACACCAACAAAAAGTAATACAGTATTCAGGTATTAAATATCTGTGAATTGTGATGAAACTACAGTAGGGAAAAAGATGTATGGGCAGAAAAGAGTTCTGAAAGATCAAGGTAAAGCCAACAAGGAAGAAATGAGACAAATGAAGCAGGAAACTTACTTTGCAGCCAACAAGCTTTTCCTCTGTGCTAATTAAAGTGTTTAGTTGTGGACATTTGACTTGATTTTAATAGACAACCTTACCACCACAGTCAAAACCTTTTAGTGTACTACCAGCTGGTGACTGACAGCAAGTCTGGCCCCCAAAACAACACAAACCACCAGCAGGATGTGCAACAACGACTCGCACATCTTATGTAACACCTGTCACAAGCCTACCTTGTGCAACAAGTCACACCTTACAACATTTGCTACAAAGAATCTAAAACTGTAATTGACTTTGACTCAGGAAATGTCTCTAATGGTGAACGGGCAACTGAGACAGATTCTTCTACCATATGACACTAAAAGACATCATTGACACCACCAGTTTATATACATGCATTATCTGAGGGACTTGTATACATTGTCATACCCTGAGGCTACTGGGTGTTTGCTGTCCAAATACAATGGAGATTCTCTGAATTGTGTGGTGCCCCACCCATCTCATGATGAAGAAACAGTCCAGATCACTATGAGCTCTGAGTAAGAACAAAAACAGTCCCACTGCTAGAACACAAAATATACCTCCTATCCTGTACTACTGGACAACCGCAGCAGCAAGAAGTGACATCATCGTATTAAACACAAAATTGCAGCTTGGAGGTTGACAGTGCAGTCTCCTCCTCCTCCACCTTCCCCTTTTGAGTCATGGGTCAGAAAGCTGTGAGTAAACTCAGTGTCCCAAACGCTGTTGGGAATAATATGGAGTCAACTCAGAGCTGTAGCTGTCTCACTCACATGCACACACACACGCACAAAATGTTTTTCCTATTTATGGATTGCTAGCTGTTGCTGTCAGGTTGTGCTGGTGTGGCTGCTGTTTGCTGATGTTCAGGAAGCTGCATCCTCTCACCAGCCCATATCAGATACTGAGTGCCTACAGGTGTGGGCCTGGTGCCTGACCAATTTAGTTATTAGTTCCTGGAAATAGAGTTTAGTGATGAACAATATTAACTCACTCACTCTCTGCTGGAAGGAATGTACTTGTTGCTTGGCAACAGTTAGCTTATTTAAAGAGTCAGCGAGGAAATGGGATCTATAGGGACCTTGCTAATTGTACATCAGTTGAAAGGAGGGTGCTCTGGTCTGGTCTGGACAATCAGCTCTGACATGGATAACTGACATCAGAGGTGGTTGTACTATAAGCCACATAGTTCTGCTATGCTCTGTGGAGGCAGCCTCGTTGCTAATCTCCCGCTACCATAAACCACCACCATTAAAAGAAAAGATGCCTGTAAAACTGTTTACAGAGGCCTCACATGGCCCTGGAGCTGCCCACTGAGTCTGATTCAAATCATCAGTCAAGATGGTTCATTCTGTCAGATGAATCACTGCAATTTTTGTTTTTCTTGACACTGAGGACAGAGTAGCACAGGATGGAAGTACTGCAGGCTATAAATTTTATAACCCTACTCTGGTCTGATAGTCACTTGGCTACAAAATGTATCATTGTGGAAAGATAACTAAAGAGTGATGGAAATCAAGGGTACAGACGGTGCAGTACAACTCATTTCTATTTGCTGCTTCACTGCTCTGTCTGATGATGAACACTAGCAAATATTAATACTCTGATACTCATTGTTTAATAATGATAATCTATTAATTGTAAAAATGTAGAAATACAATTTCTCCTGCTGTGGCAACTCAAAGTGTATGGAATAAGGCAGCAACCCTGAGGAAGAAGACAACAATGCCCATGTTTAAGCAACAGCACAACAAGGAAGCAAACCTGATGTTGTCAGTGTTTCAGTTCCTTCCTGATCTTTTTATTGGAATTAACGGTACCACCTTGGAACATAGTGCAAACACTGGCATTTCCTGTAAGGCACACAGGTAAACTCCTATGTCAAGGCCAGGGCTCAACTGGATGAAAGCCAGTGAGGAGGGTCACGCAGTCGGAGCCTGTAGGACGACAGAAGGCACAAGCACCCGGCCCTCCTTCTCAGCTGGCTCCATTTTGGCCACCTTGTTAAAATGACTGTAACTCAGTAAGACTGCACAGCCTCAGGCTCTGTGTACACCACATGACCTCATCAAGTATCAGTGTGTGTGTTTATTTGCCTTGTATCAAGTTCTGTGTGTTCATGATAAGAGTGTGTTACTGTGTGCATCCAGTGTGTCTGTTTGCCATGCCTCTGGGTGCACTTCTTCCTGTGTGTTTCTGTGCCCTAGTGTGCATTTTAAATGTGTGTATATTGTGCCTCTTTGTACCACAAATATGTGTTATACCATTGTGTAAGGTTGTGAAGCTGTCTGTAAATTCATATACACACATGCTGCTATGCATGACTGAGTAAATGTAAGCATTGCATGCAGACACAGTGCTAGATATGTGTGTGTCACACCACCATTAAAAAAAATTAAATGTGTTTGTCATACTAGAACATGTCTCAGTTGTGTTGATTTCTGTTTTATTATACTGTTCTAAATGTTGTACTGTTCATTAAGTTGCACTCAAATTATGAAGTTATTCTCGAGCATGTTCTTCAGTATAATCATACTAATAATTTAGGAATGTAATATTTGTAATTTTGTGATATGAAGATAGAAAAAAATGTCTCAATACCACAGTGGGACTGTGATGATATCTATCAGGTTACATACATATGATCATTTCACTAGTATAACTGCATTCAGGTGCCAGAATTTGAGAGCGACTTAGCAGATGCTCCATCATCGACTCTTAGAGCTGTTGTGTGGTAGCATTTCACTTTTCCCATTTCAAGGAATGAAATGGGTTGAAAGGAAACTGATTAACACATACAAACTTGCAAATATCGCAGAACAAAGGCAATATTAGCCTTGTTTGGGACTGGATACATCTCACAGAAATAGTCAAAGCATGGCTGTAAGTCACACTTTAAACAGAGACGGGCGAACAAACAGGACATATAGGCAAAACCAACAATTTAGTAACCACCATTAAGTATTTTCACATAAAAAAGTAGATGTCAATGTCCAAAAAACCCCCCTTGACTTTAGAGAATCAGACCTATTTACCCACAGCAATTCATGACCTGGGTAGGGCCTTGGCAAACAACTGACCACATGGAAAAGCAGTTGCTCCACAGTCCCCTCCCTTCTACTCCCCTAAAATGGAATTTGTTCTTTTTGCGTAACTCCGTTGGAATCTACTGCAGCATGAAGTACATCACAATCTATCTGCTCCAGCTGGGAGAGCACACAAGGAGAAGAAGAGAGGGTCGGAACAAATGCCGACACCCTTGGAAGTTGTTTGAAGGTCATGCTGGGTGGAGATGCTTACTGACAAATGGCAATAAAGAGCCACACTCGGGCTTCTATGTACAAAGAACACTAGACAGGAATACACAAACATGAAGAACCAAACTGCCGGATGAAGGGGGCTGCCACGAAACAGACGATGAAAAAGTCATTATGTTGGTATTACAAAGGAAATTAATAGAGGAAAAGATAAAAGAAAGGACAGAAATAAAGGAAGTAGGAGGTCGGGTATTTAGCAGAATCATTCCTGGAAGTACAGAGAGGTGTTCTGAACCCACCGTCTTCAGCCGCTTCACTGCGTCCTCACAGATGTGCATCCCTCTGGACTCCTCCACCTCCATGTGTCCCAGGTACTACAAGGTAGAGAGAGGTAGACAGAAAAAAGGGAGGGAGGGAGTGAGTAATGTTCTGACAAATCTCTTTGCTGAAGTTTGAGTAAGGCTACAAAAATAAACGCAGAAAATAGATTGGGTATTTAAACAAGCCCAGAATGTCAAACATCCCCTGGTAGGCCAGCGCTAGTGATTTATACACCCGGCTAATTACCATTTTAAGGTCAATAGCAGTTCAGCTGCTCCCTAGTTGATCCTAATTCTGTCCATGAAGAAAATGTTAAAACATTCCTGATAAATACAAATGGGCAAGTAGGTAGATACAACAGCAAGTGTGTGACTCTGTGAGGAACAGGCTGAACAATAAAAACAAAACCACAGCAGGTAAAAACAAGCTTTTGGCCAATAAAAGTGATTATCATTACATAGAAGAAAGACCTGGGTCTGTCCTGGGCTGCCCCCTGGATTCCATCGAGGAGGTGGCGGACAGAAGGATGCTGGTATAACATCCATCATGCATGACCCCTCCCATCCAATGCACCACACAGTAGAGGCTCTGAACAGTTCCTTTAGCGCAAGGCTTTTACATCCCCAGTGTAAGAAGGAGCGTTAACGTAGGTCGTTCCTCCCCACAGCAATCAGACTGTACAATACATCACTGCAGGGATAAGCTAGGTGAAAATTTGAGGGACTATGTAATAGTCAACTGAGGTGCAATACTCAAATCCTGGGGTCCTCGTTAATATGCACATATGTAAATTCTGTTCTTGATTATTCAAATACTTGATTCTGTCTATTTTTGAGCACTTGGAATTTATTTATCAGGATGTGTGTGCGGTGCTTGTTCTCATGGTGTTATGCTGTCTGTTTTCTATTGCTGCTTGAGGTACTGAAGTTTGTTATATCAAGATATGTGTGTGGTGTTTGTTTCTCATGGTGTTATGTTGTTTGTTCTCCATTGCTGCTGAAACACTGACATTTCACCACTGAGGGATCAATAAAGTACCTACCTACCTACCTACCTAGGACACTTTTTGATTATCAACAGTTTCTTTCTGTTAATCAGCTCATTAAGTCACTAATCTTTGGAGCTCTACTACAAAATCTGCTGGAGATTTGGCCTTTTCAGACTGTTTCTCTTCTCCATTCACCATAGTACTAAAGTAGGTGAACTTTTAAAGATTTAGGAAAAAAAGAGCAGAGGTGTTATAGCCCCACATTTGCCACATATTTAATGACTGAGATCACTGTTAAGAGCAGCATTTAGTAACTGATAATAAAAATATGTCAGGATCTGTCAGAATTAGCCCAGAAAATAGAAGCTAATGATCAATAACACCATAAGTTTGCTCCATTTACCCGTTTCCAGGGGGGATACCCTGTGTTCCAGCCACGTTACAACCTAAACCAGGAAATTCTGTGGAAATCCTATTACAGTGGGTTTAACTGTTACTGAATGAATGAAAAAAGCTGCCTCCTCCATCTCAAACCTCCCTGCCTCCCTCCTTCTTGACCTGAAGCAGCATCACGCCCTGCTGTGTGTCACTCCAGAGTAAGAACCCTGACCGCCTGAGAGGCTATTGTGTGTACGTGGCCCGGAGAGGAAGTCCTTACCCTTTCCTTATACAGTGAGTGACGCTGATGCATGCCTGTCACCCCACCCTCTGGCCCTGCTATTTTGAGAGTGTGACGCCACAGTTATGAGTCAGACTGTTGGCATATCTGAATAAACACGTGTATTAAGGACAATACTGATGTGAGGAGGGAGCTGTGGGTAGAGAGGACAATGAAAGCACTAACAGGGGATCAGCCAGAAGACTCTGTTGACGTGAGATGAGTAAACACAGGGGGAGGCTTCAAGTGTCACAGCAGATGCTTTACTGAGTTATCTTACTTCATCCTGTTAGTAACAAGCTGGCAACAACAATCTGGCGCCTCAAACATTCACATTTAACAGGTGCACTCAATCAAAGCAACTTACAAAATGAAATTAATATCTCCTGAGCAGTGTGTTGCACAAGTATAGGGTAAATTGGTTTTGAAACCCAGGTTTATGTCTGTGGTCAGACTCAAAGATTAGTTTCACTTGGCACTAATCTCAGTGGGCTAGGATCAGATGCAGTTTATAAACCATGCTATTACAATCCCTGTACTGTTACTGCCACAGTTTGTGGTGTTAAGGAAAGACAGAACATGGTGACATTTTATTGCTCCACCATTGGGGCTGAGTTTCCAGTTGTAAAAGGTCAGCAGAGGTAACACGATGGAAACACCACGTGATACCCAGGCATCCGCTTAAATTCACCTTTTGTAAACCTCTGAAACTACCACGTCATAAGAAGGGCAGGGGTCCAGACAACAGCCAGACAGCAGAAAAAGAACAGTCCTGTAGTATTTGACTAGTCAGGTTTTATCTTGAAAGGAGTACTTTAACAAGGAATTAGGCTTCTTTGCTTTCTGGTCAAGAGCTAGATGTGGAGACTGATACTCCTTTCATGTCCATACAGTAAATATGTGGCTGGAGCCAGCAGACTGTTGGCTTAGATTAGCTATAAAGGCAGCGAACAAGGCTCTGTCCAAAGGCAACTAAATTCTCCTAACGGCACCTCTAGCTTAGGAACTCTGAGGGTTTAACATAAGTATGAAACTAAACAGCTAAAAAATTGAAGGGAATACTTGATCATTACAGTACAACAGCAAGTCAGTTAGACTTCAGGGATATCAACCTGCCCATTTGTGAAGCACAAGTGATCGTGAATCAGTTTTGGTGCAAATCAAAGTGATAACAGATGAAATGGAGAGGCAAAAGCAAGATGACCCCCCAAAAAGGGAATGGTTTTGCATGTGGTGGCCATAGACAAATGCCCTCTCCTTATCCATCCTGGCTGATTCTTCTCATGTTTTGTGTTTTGGTAGTGTCCTGGTCACTAGTGGTAGCATGAGGGAGCACCTAAAGACAAGTAAGATTATGAATACAGCCCTCCATGGGTAGATGATTTTGGTTTCCACTGACTGTTGTCATGTCATTTTGTCCTGAACAAATTATACAATGTACATCAGTAAAAGTTCTCAACTTGAATAATTAATTCATCAAGATCCAATGTGTGATTTAGTCTTCCTTTAATTCTTTTTAGCAGTTGATACCAGTATCAGTAAGCTGAAGATGACTTTGTTGGTGTAAAACCTCTGGATGTAACCCAGATGGCTTCCAGGAATTAATTTACAGTTTTGGCAATAATTCAGTTTCAGAGAAAATGTATGTCTGATCCAATAGAAAGTCTGTGCTGCAGGCAGCTTTACAAAAAAGAAGTGCGTGCGTGCGTGCGTGCGTCACACACACACACACACACACACACACACACAAAAGCAGGCATTCATTTCCATACAAATAAGTCTACATAGTTTCAACTTGGCAAGGAGAAAGATATATAAATACATTTTCTTCTCATCTGTTTCAGTTGATCAGACACACACAAGCAAGTTAATCTAATCTCACTAGCAAGTACAGGCTGTGTACAGACCGGGTAGCAGTGCTTCTGCTTTCCACAGGCACTATGTCATGGGGGGAAGCCCCAAGCCACAACATTAAAGGCTAATTTCACCCAATCTTACCACCACCATCACAAACCCCCACTTTTTCCCTCCACAACCTCATCTTCACCTCTCCTGCATCTCCTCCTCTCTATTTGTTACTCTGTAGTGCGGCGAACAGCGATAATTTCACTGCAACTACTCCAACCCACACACAACAGGGCTCCTCTGAGGCACCTAGAGCGGGAGTAGGAGGGGGAGGAGGGATACAGAGTAGCAGCAAGGTAGGTTGCAGTGTCATGGTGAAAGTCAATGCACATGAAAAAATATGCAGGTCGAGAAGTGTGTGGGGCTCCAGAAGAACAAGAAGTAAAGCATGATTTTTAGTCCATTTGTCCAATGTGGCCAGAAGATTTTTAGATCAAAGGAGGACACTGCAACAGTGGTCAGTGACCTGTACTCATCAGTTTGACAAGGTATGGCCCCAACAGGTTACAGTCTCACAGCATAGTGAAACTTTCTTGTTTTGCTGCCATATGCAGGCAGATCATTTTACAGAGAGAATATAACCCCTTCAACTTGAAAAGACAATTTGTTTATACCTCAAGACAAAGATCAAAAACAATATCTACTTGAAATAAAGCAGTAACAAAATGTCAAAACAGTAAGGTGTGAAGCAACAATAAACCAGGTGCTAATAAAGACATCTAGCTTTAGGCACAGCAATAGGAGACAGTTTATGGGGAGAATATGTATGTGTGTGTTCGCCTAGTACTGCTCACACTGTAGGGACTGAAACCTGTTTATACACACACACTGTGTGCACTTCGCCTTCCTCATGGGGACCAAGTGCAGAAAACCATTGAATTTTAGAGTGACAACTTGGTTTAAGGTTAGGATGAGGCTACAGTTAAGTTAAAGGTATGATAAGCTTGGGCAAGTAGGGGTTCTGGTTAAGGTTTGGGCAAATCTCCAGGAAACGAATGTAAGTCAGTGTAATGTCTCCATGAAAAAACATGTGTGTACATGTCTCTATTACAATGTGTGGGCCAATTTTTTAAGACCATTGTTGTGAGGGCATTTTGCCCTGTTGTCACAAATTCAAAGGGCTTTCTGAAGGTTAAGACTTGGTTTTAGGGTTCAGCTTAGACTTGCGTTTAGGTTAGGTATTAGGCATCTAGTTGTGATGGTTAAGATTAGAGTAAGAGACTAGTGAATGCATTATGTCAATGAATGTCCTTTTGTGACTGCATTGAGGGGACATTTGCAAGACAGCTTAAAGATCTTGAATCTTGGCCATTTCTCACACTGAGTGAAGTGCATGCACACACAACTTGAAGCCACAAATCGCTCCACATGTACACTCATTCAGAATAGGTTTCTATCTGCAACCACCTCTACATAAATCTTCATCTGCCCATCCTGAGAGCAGAAACCTCAAGGTAGTCATAGACCCCTTCTACTATCTTCCTTTACTTTCTCACTACTGTGAATTCCACCTCCCTCCAATAAAGGTATTTTCACTTCTCCTTTCTTGCTCAAATGAAATAGGATTACACAAACACACAGGAGACATCAAACCATAACCTGTACCTTGCTATATGCAAAACACACACAGACCATAGCCACAAAGTCCATCAGCTCTGAGGAAAACCTTCTGTTTCTCACCTCCGTTTTCAATTCCTCTTTAACCTGGGTGAGGAGAGCATTTAGACCCGTGGGATGAGAGGAAATGTAGCGTTGCACTTCTGTTTGCAAAAGTGGAAGGTTATGTTGTCACAATACAGCAACTCTCCACTCCACCAAATACAGCACAGCAGGTATGAGAGTCAAACAGTAAGGTCTGCCGAGCACTCTTTGTGGTTGGGATTTTGTGTATGCAGGTGTGTTTCTGTTTGAGGGAGAGTGGGGAGAATCACCTTGACTGCAAAGCTGCATTTGCCGCTGCGGACAGCCTCCTCATCTGTCTGCCACTGGTGCGGCCGACTTGACTCCGGCACATAGATGTCTTTCTTCCGGCGGAAGCTCTGCCGTAGCTTATTCATCGCTGAGCTCCCTGTGAGTGGTGAAAGACATTTTTTAATTTCAGGATTAAAAAGGTGAAACACTGCCTGAAAAGATGGAGAAACACCACAAAAATTAATAATTGAAAGTCTGGGGAAAATGTACCAGTTCACCCGAGATCAACAGCACATTTCAACACAGAAATGTGTCAATTTCCTGCGTTTAAGTGAAGCTGGTGGTTGAACAGAAGCACAGAGCCACATGAGCACAATACAATAAATCAGTGTCTCCCTGATTCACATGGAGGAAGAAAAGAGCTGGAGCATGACTTTCTATAGTGGTAAGAGTCACCAAGGGCCAAATGAAAGTGGTGCAGAGACACCGAGGGCCTCCTCTCTCCTGCTGAGAGCACTTTTACTTGCTCATTGTACCAGGGCACAAGATTACAGCTAAATGACTACCCAGATTATTTCTACAGATACAGCGAGGAACAGAAGTATTTGAACACCCACTTAGAAATCATGGAGGGGTCTGAAATTCACATTGAGGGGCATTCCCACTCTGAGAGACAGAATTTAAAAAAAAATTCAGGAAATCAGGAAATTGTATGATTTTTAAAGAATTTATTTGTCTTGCACTGCTGAACATAAGTATTTGAACACCTGAGAAACAGCAAGAATTCTGGCTCTCAAAGACCTGTTACTGTGCCTTGAAAAAGTCCACCTCTACTCCACTCATTAATCTAAATTAGTAGCACCTGTCTGAGCTCTTTAAAGACACCTGTCCACCCCACAGTCACTCAGATATCAACTACTACCATGGGCAAGACCAAAGAGCTGTCAAAA